TCTAATAGGTTGGAAATGAAGTGGTCTAAAATGAGCCAAAACATTCGGGTTGCGCAAAACCTGATTCAGAAATTTGGACAAAGAAGACGAGTTATTTGAGTCAAATTTTACTCGTTTCCGAAAGACCTATACTGTATACGGTGGGTCATTAACTACCAAGGTATTGTGTCTGACATGGTACCCATGCCGGATCAATTCTGCACAAGTGCACATAATAGGTGGTTTGGACGCAGTCCGACCCTAGCTCTAGACGTCCTAAACCGATTTAAGTCGTTTTGTATGACCTAGACCGGTCTAAAACATATCAAAACAACTTTTTGGACTGGTTTAACATATTTTAGATCAGTTCTTGACTAGTTCAAACCATGATTATATAGAAGATTAACACCCATTTAGACATTTTTGACAATTTTGTTCAAGTTATATCTCATTTTGGCCCTTAATCTTGCATTAAAAATACACGGTTCAGTCTATTATAAGCTTATTTTGCATTTTAGTTGATAATTAGGGGCATTTGATTCCAATTTAATGGATGGAAAAATGATTTTAGGGGTGAGTATATCTTTATTTTCACTATTATGGTCCTAAGTTAAATTGATTATGGCTTGGTATTACCATTAGTTATTTGGCATATTTCTTATTCCATGCTTTAATTTGTATGAAAGTTAAAGACTATGAAATATAAAGCATTTATTTAAGGGAAAATTACCCATAGGTACCCCTGTACTTTAGGCTGTGTCAATTTAATATCCAAACTTTAAAATGCGACAATCTAGTATTCAAACTTTCGAAACACGATAATTTAATATCTAGTTAGTTATGTATATCACGTGACCTCATGTGCGATTTAATATTTTTGAAAATGTCAAAATTACCCTTAAAATAAAACACTTGTTCGTTATCTTCTTTCTCACGAAAATAAAGAATCTTTCTTGAAACAGGCAGGGTTGGGTTGCAGAGTAACAGCTCCTCACAAAGGCAGAATTTCCTTGAATCTTCACATTTTAGACACAAATAAAATGGACTTCTTGTTATTATTCGGATTGATGTATCTCATCACTTTATCCTCTCTGCTTTCTATATCCCTTTTTGCAATCCCGTCGGAATCTCAAAGCGGTCCCCAGCAGCCCATCAAACCGGGTGATTTCTCTGGTACAAACACCGTTCCCACCTTTCCCATCCAAACGCAAGCACAAACATGCCATCTCAACCTCTCCGAAGAGCTTTTCAGCGGCATCAGTGAGGCATGTGAGCGCAACCTCGAATTGTAGCTACTATTGTCCGGTGCTCACCGCCTGGCTCTTTGCTGCGCATGTTAGGTCAGCACTACAGGTACCGTCAACTATGCCCACGTCATCAGATGATCTGATGGTAATGGATGACTCCCAGAAGTGCGTCAACTCACTTCAGAGCTCGCTGCAAAGTCGTAACATAAACATTCCACATCCCAACTCCACATGCGACGCCATTCTCTGTTTCTGTGGCATTCGGCTCCATCAGATTACCTCGCTGAGTTGCCCCGCCGCATTCAACCTTACCTCCCACAGGAATGCAACTCCGATGGCTGCCATCAAGAATTTGGAACGGAATTACCGGAATTCGTCCTACTCCGGCTCAACCAAGTGTCTCGACGCCCTTGAAAAGGTTAGGTTTTTTTTTTTACTATTTCTTATCGTTTATTTCTTCCCATTGGCGCTTTCTTTCTTCATAATTTCCAATCATCTGCCATTACTTGAACAACAACCGAATTGTCAACAAAAATCTGTTGCTTTGTCATCTCTTCTGTATATTTCCTATTGCTAACATGCGCCATACAAGCATACCAAGAACAAATTAACAACCAATTAAATCGAGTTATAACAACCAATTAACACTCCATCTCACCACAAGCAGGATGCTTCATCAAAATTAAATTTGCAAATCACCACTACAAATTCAAATCTGCCCAGAACTCCCAAGACAAAGCAAAAGAATTAAGTCAACTCTTACGGATCGATCCCAGCTAGCAAAACAATCTTCAGTCTCGCTCTAAAAAACAAAGGAGAAAAAAATTAAAGATTATTTGTCTCCGCCACTGATGCGCAGCAACAACAGAAATCGAGATGAACCGTTGTTAATGGCAGGTACTAGTAAGGCTACAACTCTTGTGTTTATTTGAGATATTAAGAGACGTTTATATTGTCATATTACAGATAGGTTGATAAGGAAAATTAAATGATATTTTAATAGGTACCAGGTTGTTATATTTCAAAATTTTGGATACTAGATTGTCGTGATACAGAGTACGTATCGGGAAGCTGCATTTAAGAACAATTTGAAGACCAAACGTCAAAGAAATTGGGCTTAAAATTGGTATTCAATGCTTCTTGATCCAAACTATTGGTTGTCCATTTCATTGCTTAATCGATAAATGACTAATCCAAAGGTTAGTATCATTTATTGTGGTTTAATTGAAGTGAAAGGAAATTGCATGTGTGTATTTATTATTGATTATTTAAACTCAATGGTTTAAGTGATTAATAATTATGTAGATGTAATGATGTATAGTTTGCCTTTTATAATTAAATTCACTTCATTGTTATGGAATCATTCTTGAAGCTAAAGGAGAGAGGATGAGACTATATACAACTTTGTCATTTGATAATCATACTTGATTATTTAGATGCATGATTTGCCATTTGTTTATTTTGCTTTTATAAGTGTAAATTAAAATTGGTATTTATATTTGCATGGCAGTTACACTCAAAACCTTTTTGTTCAATTTCAATTATTCTCCATTGAACTCTGGACCAATAAAGTATTAGGAATTGTTTATTAGTTTCAAGATTTGAAGATGAACCTAAATGAGATTTCTTTGTTTATGCTGTGTTATCTGCTTTGTCCAAGTATTTTGAAACTTTTGTGATTAATTACAATGGGAGGAGACCTACTATAATACAATCAATCAGTAGGTTGTATTTGATATAATTTTAGATAAATAGTTTTGATAACTTTTGTGATTTCAAAGAATTACTTTCAAGTTTGGATTTAACCAAATATGTTGCTTCGTTCTCATATTTTATCGATCCACACAACCATACCCCACAACTAAAATACCCATAACAATATAGCTTTATAAAAAAAAAAAACTCATAATAAATTCTATCTTATCCAATGAAAATTAAACCTAATAATAGTGCGAATCTTATTTTCGTTGTCCTATAAATAATCAGGACAAGGAAAACATATTTCCTTGCTTGATTTTTGTGAGATGCTTCACCACAACATAACATACAAAGCTGGATTGATGAGACTAAAGAGTTGGAAAGTGGACATATGTACAACTTGGGTGATGGGACAACACATTCTGAAATCTGTACGCGTAAACATAACCACTGAAGCCCCCTGAGTTAACAATTTCATGGTATTCTATTTTTTAACCGCAAGATCAGGGGCTCACATTTACCCAATTTGGACCTCTATTAGAGAAACGCATTATAGCAGTAAGAGTCTCTAATTTATCCATATAGAACACTGATTGATCTGTTAGCACTTAGCAGTGAAAGCTCTTGTGAATGAAAGTATAGCATCTCTGGCCCTTTTCAGCGGTAAAACTTACTGAATCACGGACTCTAGGTGCTATTATGATCCTCCACTGGTTCTTAGGGGACTTCTTATGATGCATTGGTTAATGATTAAAGACCAAGACAAACAGAATTAACTGAAGGATGCATGTCATGTAGAGAATAAGCTGATTGCTAATTTACTCTTTTACCCTATTTTCAATGACATGACATTTAAATAAAAATCATAAAAAGGGAAATTATGTTAAATCACCGTGAGTTTTCAATATTTTTCAATAAAAATCAAAACGTTTAGGGAAACCCATGTCAGTAACTAGATGTTAAACAGGCTAATGTGTGTTAGTAGATTATCAATTTAGCCTTTTGTTATATTCGACCCATTTTTTAATATTTCAGAAATATTTCTGTTATTATTCAATCCAAAACCTATTTTTCAGCTTTTTCTTGGAATACTTTCAAGCAGCACAATGAGAGCAAAATGTCTCTTCACAAATAGAAATTTTATATAGAAGGCACTTGGGTGCTCAAGCGCATTTTAATTATAAGAATATGTTTAATAAGGCTAAAACCATTCAGGGGTAGTTTGATTATAAAAATTTCATTTATACTGATATGGACAACTTCTGTCAATGAACACTAGAATTTACATTTGTGCCCCACAGTATATCCCAACCGTGTATTGAGAACATCTCCTAATGGCAAGTACAAGAGATGTTCCCAATGCATGCTGAGATATGCTATGGGACATTCCTATGTGGGAAGCAGATATGAACTCTGAACAGTAACAGTACTCTACCAGATGGTGAGTTTTGGAAGGCAAAGATCACTGACATGAGGTTCCCTAGACGTTTTGAAAAGTTGCAATGAATTTAAGATAAAACTGGTGAATTTTAGACAATTACCCTAAACAAATATAACTTTTTTACCAAAATGCCTCTAATGTATTGTGCTTTTTCTTAACCCTCTCAAGTAGCACTATCCCTGGCATTCTGCAATCCAACACTCAGCATCTAATAACGATGGAACCCTATACTTATTATCCTCTTGTTATTGTTAAACCACTTTTTTGCTATTTGCACTTTCTTCTCAATAATCAAGTCGAGGGGGAGTAGTAAGAGAAAAAAAGTGAAGGAACAATAATATAATCTTAGATTAATAAAGAGGAAAATCCTAAAACCTATCTTTAGGTTCTAAGGAATATTGAAACAATAAAACCTCTCATCAATTTTATCTCAACCCTTAAACATCCCTTTTCAAAAGATTCTACTATTAACCTTGACAAAATGAGAGAGATATAGGTGAATCACTTGGTTTTTGATATGTCTAAATCAATGGCTCTGTGAGTCAATCTGTCAGTCATATGGGACAATAGAATTTGCACAAATAGATAATTTTTATTTATTCATATTTCATAAGATATATTTAATTTAAGGTGCCAAAAAATTTTTCAACAATGCAAATATAATAAATTTATTCAATCATGCATTTGCTCATCTAAACATCCAACGTAACACATATATAATGTGATGTGAGAACTAGGCCTTGAAAAAATACACGATCAAATACCTACACTTCAATTGAAAGCCCTACAGACCCGCCTAATCTCTCCACGAGAGTCCGTCTTCACACCGATCTGGCCCATTTTCACTATTGAATCAACAAAATCAGTCTCAAAAGATGGTCCAGAAATAGGGCTGAGCATACCGAGATAGGAGTCGACGATGCGCTTGGTCACTTCATCTTGGTAAAGCTTTGCGTCGGACTCCAACACGGCGAACCCATCTCTGATGTTGCGCAATATATTGGCATCAAATGTTAGAGGGCTCCCACGATCAAGAGCTAACCGAACGTTGACGTCTCCATTCTGCGGGCACTGGGATTTTAGCTCCATTAGGGACAGAAAGTTAATTGATGGGTCGGAGCCACCCTTGGGGGAGAAATTGTAGAGCCGCTTTTTCATGAAGAAGCATGCAGCGGTTCCCATGGTATGTGCAGCTGCAATTGACATCAAACCATCCATCACTGAATTAACGAAACATATATGGAATCGGCCTTTTTCTTCTGGCCCTCAAAACACAAGTTCCATGTTTCAATTAAAACACACACTTTTAGTGAGGTTACCTAAATGACCAACAACCTTAAAATCAAATTTGTTTGGAGCTCAAATGGCTCAAGCTTCTTCTACCCACCATCTATTTGTTAAAATAATTGACCCAAAATATCTTGTTATAGGTGAAATAAAACTTTTTATAGTAAATTCCCGATAATTGCTTTGGTTTCAATGCAAGTCATAAAAATTAAATCAGAGTTTAGTTAACCATCTAGCTTCTTAATTTAATTTACTCGTGTATAATACAGATTTGTTCCAAGAAATGCTTCCAAAACACTGTCCCAGCAAGCCATTACAAAGTGTACGAAGGACATGCTTCCAATGTGCAGTTGCAGTGGCACGTTGGGACAGTGTTGGTGAAAGCATTTTGTTGGGACCTATCATTCGTCAAGTTGGGAGGGTATTGGAATGCATTTTGTTTTGTTGGCTGATGATTCAGACTCGACTGATAGGCTGCTAATGGCCGGATTGGCTGTTGGGTGTTATGTGCCGGTTTGGAAAAAAATGACAACTATAGAGTTCTAGAGTGACTGACTGATTCATTCAAGTATCCTCCTATATGGAGTTTTTTCTTGGTGAGTATTCTCACATGGAGTTTGGTCATTAATTTGTACTAGCTAAAAGGAAATGAGTTGCACCAGAAAAACAAGGATTTGTGTGGGTATGCAGCATGTGTTTGGAGAGTAGCTAGGAAGTTAGTTATGTACAACTGAGAAGCACAAGGTCTTTTACTGAAAGCCCCTTCTGCATGAACTTGGCTTTAAGTTGCTCAATGGAGTCACTGACATCCGGCATGTTATCGGCGAGCGCTAAGTTTGATATCCGACCATCCCGGCGACCAGTTGGAACTTCATAGGATGGCCCATTGCTCTGAACCATGCATCAAACACAAAACTCTAACATCAGTTCTTATTTATGTTAAAATATATAGAAAGATAAGAAAAGATTGATATATAAAATATATATATGATCACTATCAGCTAGTTCTGTACCAGAGCTATAGCGTCTCGAGCGGCCAAGGCCACGATGTCTGCACAGGAGACCACGCCGCCGCACACTGCTTCTAATTGAGCCTTTGCTTTCTCTATCACTTCATAGCCTCCAACACCTTGGTGACTGAATGCATGTTTCTCTGACGCTTGGTCATTGTCTATCAGTATGGACCCATCACAGCCCTGAGCATTTACAAGAATTAATTAGTATCAGAGAGAGAGAGAGAGGGAGGGGGAGGGAGGGAGAGACCTCAACAAAGCAGTCATGGAAATGGAGCCTAAGCAAGATGGCTGCCATTCTAGGATCAGAAAAAACAGCTTCTCGAACTACAGAACTGACGATTTCTTCAGCGTTGGGGCATGTTTGGGAGTAGAAACCAACTCTGAGTTGCCCTTTTGTCAACCCCAAAAAACAACTGAGAATTAGAGCTAAAACCAGAGCCATATTTTTGAACGAATGACGAACAGTGAGAAGTTCATCAGGTTAATTATTTATAGCTGTTATGATTTAAGTGAACGTGTCAAGAAAGTTACAGGTGTTTTGTTTTTTTAAGAAATTATTTTTTTTTGTCATTTCCATTGATAAAAATGTTTCGAGTTCGAACAGCTCATGACACAATTATTGCATATATGGAAATAAAAATCTATTCTTTATTTTCTGCAGATATCTTATATTTATCTCAACTGGTATTTAGGACCGGTAGCAGTGCTCATTGCTCAAGTTAAACGGCTTAGGTCTCGATCGTTTGGTTCACTTACCCGGCCTCGTATTAATTCCCATTCTTGCAAGACTTGGGATGAGTACAACGAGGTTCACTGCTGGCTTAGAAATATAGAGATCCCTTGTTGAAGATAAGGCTTAATTTATTTCAGGTAGTTGTCAATATTTTTGGAAGCTAATGAATCATCTCGTACTGGGAAAAACAAGTTTGGTTATATATCATGCAAAACATAGGCAAGTAAAGTAAATGCTTTACTTTAATTCATTTCTGTTTCAGTAATTCAAATGACTTTCATTAGTTTAATTCATTTTTGTTGTTCCTTGTTCCTTATCAATCTTCATTATTAGGAAAGAATTGAGAAGATGAAAATTGCTAATATGGAATCAAAATGGGGCCTTAATAGACCTGGCAATTGGGTTGGGTAGGTTGGGTTATGACACTTCGGGTTGAATTTTGGGTTGGGTCGGCAAATGTTAGACCCTATTCTTAAATGTTCGGGTTAGGGTTGACCCATATATCAATTGGGTCATACAAAAAATAACTGAAATTTTAAAAATAACAAAATTAAAGGACTTAAACTTAAAATTCTAAAAATAAAATAAAAAGTTAAGCATTTAACAATTCAAGAAATAAACACTAAATAGTAAAGATTAAAGAGTGGAAACTGTGCTTGCTGTCCCAGCGTTTGTATCATTGCAAAAATCTAGTTGCCTGGAATTGTGCAGGGTCGACCGTGGCTTGTTGTTGAGTTTCCCAGGGTGGAGAGTTGCGGTGAGAACAAGATCCCTGAGATGGGGATTGGGCTGCAGAGCGATTGGATGTGTTTCTTGGCATGCTTCTTGATTGCGCATGAGAAAACTTGGGAATGACTTTTTGTATGTATCCCATACAAGTCGCCAATCTGATGTTGTCCTATCCGAGGTACTCCGAATCAAGATCGCAGTCAAATAGTCCTGCCAACTGATAAAGCCGAGGTGGAAGGACGAAACTGCATAACAAGATCAAGATCTGAAACCAAGAAAGAGAATCAGAGGCCCAATGAGTTGTTCCCCAGGTAGGCACTTCGACACTTAAGTTAGTGATAAGAGAGATGGGTGGTCAGGCTGAGCTGTTGAGAATAATGTCAGTCTGAGCAAAAGAAGCAGAATAGCAATATGAAAGTCTGAAGAGTCAAAAGTCTCTTACCTTGAGTGGGGGTTACCTATTTATAGCCGAAGATCCGTGTCCTATCTGGATGAGACTTCCGAGATTGTCGGGATGAGGTGAGGTCTTCAGGATAAGTCCTCTTCCCCGACGAAATTGTCCTTCTTATCCGTATGGCACTCCTCTTCTTGGTCGCACTTGTCTATCTTATGTGGTACTGACGTAGCTGATAAGATAAAATGGCCACGGAGGCCGCCACTTAGCACGCGGGACTAGGTCAACTATAAGCCAAACAATAATATAGTCTCTTAATTTACTAAAAAAATGTAACCAATTACATTATGCATATATTATTACCAATGCGTTTGACACGGAACATGTAATAGAAGCTTGTCACAAACCCAATGAAAGTGCATGAACGAATTCCCTTAGGTGGTCTTCTGAAACTTTGAATTAATCTCTAAATTCTAGAAATTTTGCATTATAAGGATCATGATTCAAGCATCCGAGCAAACATCTGAATTATGAAAGAATTCTCAAACTTGATCTCCTTTCTAAATACATTCAACACTAGGAAAGCTTTCAAAGAGTGACAACCATGAATGTGACCAGTGCATATATATGATGCATAGAGAATATCTCCATATGAATTTAATATATAAATATATTAGATATTCTTGATGTGCAATTGGATGTTGTACTCTTAGGGTGTGTATGACTTTTGCTCTCAAGAGATTGGACTTGGCATATAATACTTTTCATCTTGAGAGAGGTCTTTTTCTAGTCAACAAAGTCTAAATAAATGGTTCTCTTTGGAAAATGAAAATTACACAAGGCATGTAACGAAACATCTACCAAGTCAAATAATCCTTACCCTTAAAAAGGCTATGTTTGTAGAGGTTTCCCTACTTTTTCCTAAACATAGCTTAAAAGTGGATGGGCTTCACCAAACCTTTGCTTATACCTACCAAACAACATATTTTTTAAAGAATTGATGTTGACATTAATTTCAAAGGTCTGTGAAACACCAAGGCAATTCTGTTTCATTATATTAAGGGCTTGTTTAGTTTGCTGGAATAGGGGTTTAGAATTGGAATTGGAATGGGCCATTTTGATTTCAACTGTTTGGTTGGGAAGAATTGGAATCCCATTTCCATTCCTATTGGAATGACAGTCCACCATTTGAGAGAATAATCATCCCACCTCCCTTGCAAATGAAATCCGATTCTATCTTATTCCAATTCCAAGTTATTTTGATTCTAATTCCGATTCAAATTACAACTATGAACCAAATGGACCCTAAGATATCCAAAGGAGATTAAGGGTTCGTTCTATTTGTAGTTGGAATCAGAACAAAATCCCTTGGAAAATAGTTAGAATGGAATTTCATTCCCATAATCCGTTTGATTCACATGGGGATGGCCATTCCCTTAAATGGGAGAATGTCCTTCCAGTAGGAATGGGTAATGGGATTGAAATCGGAATCTGATTCCGGTCCCTATTCTCGCGAACCAAATAGGCTCTAGATATTCATCTTTTTTTTTTTTTATTTCCCATTGTTTTAATCCACTTGCCACTCTTGCCTCCACCTTTGGCCTTATGTGATTTATGCTTATCTTAAGGTTGAATTTGGTTGTAGTGTAAATTTGAATCAAATACAAATTTTGCATCCCGTTCAACTATCATTTGTTTGTTTCTAACTATGTTTTGCACTCTAGATGAGATAAAATTTGTACTTTTTGTTTCATTTTCACTCACTAGTGGTATAAAATTTAGGCTCATTATGGAAGGAGTACAAATACAAATAAAATTTAGGCTCATTTTGGAAGGTGTACAAATACAAATATGTTGAAGGCAAAACCTTATATTTCCTACCTCACTCCCAAATAAATAACCCTCCTACTACCTCCATTCTCTTGTATATAAGGTGGGACCACACCATTTACTTTTCACAAGCAAACAAAACCAGAATTTACATTCAACAATTTTTTTTGTCAAACCCTAAGTTTTAGGAAAATTGAACCTAAAATCGTGACTGGGTGAGGGTTTGATCATTTCGACCATCCAGGTCAATAGTGGGTTGAAACCATTGGTCTAGGTTAGATATTTGTTAATAAAAGGACTCCCTTCGACAATACAACCACACGGAGATAATACAATTCAGCATATCTTCACAAATTAGCTAGGTCCTATCTATCTTTGGTGGTATAACTAAGTAGGTTCTACTACCCATACATGGAGATGATATAGTTCATCACATCTTCACTTATTAGGGTCCTGTCTTAGGTGGTGTAACTAAGTGCTACTACCCTCACCCTTTGACAAGTACTTAAAGGAACTGATTGATATCAATATAGAAATTGATTCTCCAAAATACAAGGTGGTGTTTGGAAATTTGAAGTCATTTAAAATATTATTAGTATGAGAGTTTGTTTTTATGTTTAAGGTTTCATTTGATTCACAGGTATAGGGGTTTAGAATCGGAATCGGAATGGACTATTCTGATTCCAACTGTTTGGTTGGGCATAATCAGAACCCCATGACTATTCCTACTAGAATGACATTCTCCCATTTGAGGGAATGGTCATTCCCTACTCCTCCCTTGGGAATGAAATCTCATTCCTGCTTATTCCAATTCTTATTCTCATTCCTGTCTGAACCAAACAGACTATGTGAATAGACCATTCCGATTCTAAAGAATTCTCATTCCGATTCCAACTACGAACCAAACAGACCCTAAATTCCAAATTTCCAATTATAATCTTGATTTCTAAACCCAAAGAAGACTATTGACCTTCCACAAAAGAAACCCATAGGATCTTAGCAAAAAGAAACAAAAGAAACTAAACTCAGTTTATGATAAAGGGATACGTGTTCCTCGATTTATGATAGACCTCTTCTTTCAAGTCTCTCAAGGGAGAGAAGCTCCATATATTATGTTCCCTTTTTTCATGGGGGAATCTCACTAAAACCCACCACACAAATTTTACTTTCACTATGGCTCCGTTTGTTTGTGATACAAATGCCGAACTGGGGTATTTATGTACCGCGGTTTGCGTTTGTGAACATTTGTTTGATATGTAAAAATAGTAATGATTATCAGATCAAAAATATATTTTCTGACACTTTTGTACTTTAAGAAGTAAGCATTACTCTGCCTATTTTTTGGATACAATTTTGTGTTCTTTTGATAATTAACTTTTTGACCAAAGTTAAAGCATTGAAGCATAAGATAGTTGGAGCATTTCAAGCAAACAAGATAAGTGCAAAAATGGGTTAAAATGTGAACCGTGTTTGCATTCATGAACCAAAAAAAGGGTAAATATGCAATGTACATATTTGCATTTGCATTACAACCAAACACAGCCTATATATTCACATCAATTTAAAACTTCCAACACCCCCACCTATGACACTATACCCCCTCCTTGTATTGGTATCAATACCCCCATTGTCACTGTTTCCAACTATACGGTGAAGTAAAAATTTGTGAGGTGGGAGTGAATGACGATCTCCCTTCTTTCATTCCATTGGCTAGGATTAATCTACAAGCAATACTAGCAAAAGCTTAATTGCATGGA